AGTATCTGCTGCCCCTGTACCATTGTCACTTCGCTCTACTGCACATGTCTCCTGCAGAAAGAGCCTCTGTCCTGCTGGAAGTTGTAAAATATGCAGCCGAAAACGGTAATCGAGCAGCAGAAAGAAAGTTTGGAGTGAGCGAGAAACTTGTGAGGGACTGGGGGAAAGTGGGGATGGAGAACACAGCTTCACGGCAATCCGGAAAGGTGCACTATGCAACTTTCCTGGAAGTCACTGGATGGATCGACAAAGCCTGGACTTCAGTGACAACAGAAATCATCCTGTCGAGATTCAGAAAGGCCAGAATAATTCTAACTGGAACTGATGCTGAGTCTGACGACAGCTGCACAGAAGAGGAAGTGACGCTCTGTTTACCTCTGGAGGTCGTGGATGAATTTAGTGATTTGGAGTGAGATGGAGAGTTTGGTAAACTTGTTCTGTTCTGTTTTTTATGTTATATTTATCTGAAGAACTGTTCATATGTGACGTTAACAGTCTGTTGTTCTCTGTTCTATTGTTTTTACTAGAACTTGACTTTCAAGAGGAAATGTTTGTTCCTGGTCTCTGATTTTATAAAATAAATTTCCCCAAAAAAGTGCGACTTATACATGTTTTTTTCTTCTTCATTACGCATTTTTTGGCTGGTGCAACTTATAGTCCAAAAAATACGGTACCCACTTTAAAATTTACTTTAATGTTCATTGTGTAACATTTCTGGCAAATGGTCTGTGAAATGCTTTTCTCCATGGAGATGTTATTGCTTTTTTCTGGAACGTGCCACAGTACGGTATTAAACCTTTCCGTCTTTAATGAGAGACAAAATCTGACCAAGTTACATGTCAGATCTGTGGAGAGGCGACCCCACTCACAATCAGAATGCCTAGGTATTTTTGAGCTATAAAACCACCTCCAATTTAATGTAACTTCGAGCTTTAATATCATATTGTGGAACATTCCGGGCAGAGCAATGACATATCCATAGAAACAAGCGGGTGACGGACCCCAAACTAAAAAGTTACATAGTGCACCTTTAAGTACAGTACTTTACTATTTGTACTTTTACCTTCCACCACTGATTGCGATGTTATTCTTCTCATTTGGACATTTCCAGATAGATTAAAGAAGTGAACTGAAGAAGTGGTGCATGATGGGAAGTAATCATATTCATTATTCACTCTTCAGGCTGTTAAAGAGGCTGTTATGCAAAATCGACTTTCTGGAGCTTTCTACCGTGTTATAATATTGTTCCCTCATCAAAAACATCAGGTTTTATATGCCATCCATGCATGTTTGAGTAATTTAGCGATCTCTCCCAGGCCTTATTCAAATCCTCTTCGTGGTGAGCTGTAAGATTCTGTCCAAGACTCAACAATTCTCCAAACTCAACGACGATTCTCCATAAATATATAAAAACATGATACAAAACTGTAAACTACAACTTCACAAACCTGATGCGATGTGCAGTAGTTTTATTACTGGGATGCGCGCTGATTGTGTTGTCACTTTCAATGTTAATTTTATGATGATTATTTATGTTTTGATTTGTTTGTATTGTGATTTTAATGACTTTCTTATTCTGTAAAGCACTTCTTAATGACTTTGTATTTGAATTACTTGTTGTTGGAACATGTTAATATGTTGTTTTGGGGGAATATAGCATTTTCAAAAACAATAAAAGGTAACATGGAAAGTGTAAATGTGCCTCTTTGTACACTGTGCACATGGCCTCCCACTTGTCCCGACCAGGACGGAAAGCAGGGAATTTCTTGTACAAGTCAACGTTAAATGCACATTTGCAGAGCTACGAGAGACGCTCAATTTAATGGCCCAATGAAAGATAATGAAAACCCGGACATTTGCATCACTTTATTAAAAAAAATTAAAAATGGCCTGCCAGGACAGGACGTGAAAAACAGGCATGTCTGGGGAAAAATGGACGTTTGGTCACCTTAAAGGTTGTATAGAGGATTTTTTTAAGGGAAGAGAAATACAGCGACAGTCCTTGTGCGCGTTCAGAATTACTGTTGAAGTTTCCTGTCGAGAAGTAATTCAGCGACCGACGCGTCAGTTTTTAGACCCTTCGTCTGCTTCGGTCGCGCCATCGCTGGACAAGATCTCCAAGAATCACCTCAGTTTGGCTTTGCTCCTTTTCCACTTCTCTTCTTCTTTCAGCGACCTCAAAAACGGACTTTCTTTTGCGGCGAACCAGTCGTGGATTCTCGTCCACCGTCGCGACAAACTTTGTGTAAAATGCGAGGAAGCGACAGTTCGAAAAAGCGTCTAAGAATCTCTGCATAAACCACGTAATCCCCGCGCTCCGACGAGTCAGTTATACTAGGGAGTTTGATTGACAACCTAACAGCCAATAGAAAATGAGGGAGCCTCGTTTTCTATTGGCTGATGTTTATTTGGCCTCAACACGTCCACAGTTGATAGATTTTCGTTCTTTTTTTTTTTGGTCATCATAATTACAAAGCTGCTGCGTCTCTGTAATGGTATTTTAATCTTTGACTGACAGTTTGAAACACAAAAAAAAAAATCCTCCATACAACCTTTAATGTAGCGGCCACTCACTCGAACTTCAGCGAAAAAATCCCATGGCCCGAGAAAGGATTTTTTTCATGGAGCGCAGTGTAATCTTTCAAAACTTTCAAAAATGTCAGATTTTGTGGTGATTTTTTTAACCTATTTTGAGATCGTAAGCTTCTCAGCTCAAAATCCTTCAGTTGTTCTAAAAAATGCTTTATAATCGTTAGCTCCGGCTCCGCTCTAGCTCCTATCGCTCTGATTGGTCAAAGCGATCACGTGTGTGCTCGCGGGAGAAAAGAGCACTAACGGGCACGCTCGGTAGAGGTAAGATCTTAAGACCGAGCCCAAGCCCGACCCGACCCGAATGTCAATCATTACTTCGGGTCGGGTCGGGCTCGGGCTTCAAATAAATATATGTTTATAAAATGTATGCTAAAACGATGTGTGGATACTAAACTAAGGAATACTTGTTATAAAATAAATAATATGGATAAAACAGAGAAGTAATGTAATGTAATTGCTATTTAACTACTAAACAGGATCCGCAGAGCCAGAGCTCTGCGCACGTGAACGCCCCCTCTTAATTTAATAATCTTCCCCTCCGCAAGTCTGCATCTATTTTGACCTGGTGTCCCCAATATGGAGAAGCAAGAAGCTAAACTAAAGGCAGGAGAACTGAAAAGACAAACACGCACCGGTAAGAGTGAGGTGTGGAAAAGCTTCAAATTGATTGTTGAAAATGCTACAGAAACTTGCGTTGGCTTCGCTGAATGTCGTCAATGTGGCGCTTTGCTTTCATACGAGAGCAAAAAGACTGGCACCTCGACGCTGAGCACTGCTCCTCCTCCCGAGTCACAAATAAAATATGACATTTCGGGTTTGCTTCGGGCTCGGGCCTGCAAATCAAGTTAATTGGTCGGGCTCGGGCCGGGTTGGGTTTTAATACCCGCGGGCCGGGTCGGATCGGGCTGGATTTTTTAGGCCCGATCTCACCTCTAACGCTCGGTCAGAAGAACCTCGCCGAGCTAAAAGCGAATCTGGAATCCTGCGCCAATGAGCACAGCCCATTGTCTTGAACGGGCGGTCATTTTGAAACCCCGGGGCTCGGTGTGACGTCTGTAAAGTGCCGGCACAGACTCAGAGCGGGGCTGGGTAAAGTTTTACAAAGGTCACTTTTAGACACTTTGAGGATTTAAAAAATTTAAAAAAGTTTATGTTGTAAAACTAGAAAAGAATCCCTATAAAATCTGACCTTTGTGAAACCTGTCGATGCCCCGTCAGCCGAACACGTTTCAGTTTCTTTATGGGCCCAAACTCCCGTGAGCTGCAGTACCTGGAGCGGCCACTAGTCGTTCTCGAGTCGGGACAGAGGGGGAACGTCTTATTCAGTTTTTATTTTAGATCCACGTCTCAAACTCGCAAGAATCCATGTTATGTAACGTAGGACTTTTACACACTTTGGCTGACGCTGTTGTTTTTAAAGTGCCCTACAAATAAAGTTGGTCCTGAGCGTTTTTTGCACAAAAGTTCACAGTTGCCTCCCGACGGATTGAACAGTGCAGTTTAAATCAGGCTGAAATCAATAGCTGCTCAGCATTAGAGTGAAACCAGCTTTGTCGTGAGGGCAATTTAAAACACCACCTCTTCACATCAGCGGGTGGAACAGTTTGTTTTGGGACGTCGTGAATATGCAGGACTTACGTGAATGTAACAAAACAACTCCAGGTGTGTTGTTAGAATTATGCAAAAATCCAAAAAGAAGTCCATTCAGAAAAATAAACCACTTTCATACATAATTAGGTGTCATGGTGTGATACAAATTTCTGAAACAAAGATCTTTCATTTTGCCTGAACGAGAAAAACACAGCGTTTTCTCTTTCATAACGTATCAAAGATCAGACTTGGGTTATTATATTTTCCACAAAAGCTCCGCAGTAGTTTTTTAATATTCTATTTTTATATGAGAAGTTATTCAAATGGTCATCTGCTTTAAGTTGACCAAAACTTTTTCTCTTGGGGCCACAGTATCGCTCCTGACTGTGACATATTCCTATTATCCTTAGTAATTTAATGGATTACGTTACAAACTACATTTTGGGGTGTGTAATCTGTAATCTGTAGGGGATTACATTTTAAAAGTAACCTTCCCAACACTGATTATAACATGGCTCAAAGCTCACAAGAATCAATTTTGTGTAGTATTGGACCTTTAAAGGTGCACTATGTAACCTTTCTGGTGCTGCTTTGCCTGAAATATTCCACAGTATGGCATTAAACCTGTCTATTTTGCATTTACAAGTGTTTTTTAATGTTGGAAAAAAGACACAACTCCAGGTCTGTTTTTGATGAGATATTATAACGACTAAAGACTCAATTTCAATTAATATAAGAACTTTAAATAACATGAATGTTTATATATATATTTATACAACCCCACTGGTGTATTTTTACCCAGAATCCCGTGCACTCACCCAGGTCGAGGTCGGTGGCAGACACAGACAGGATGCTGGTTCCCCCCGGCTGGTTCTCGGGCACACGGGCTTCGTAGTGGCTCTCTTCAAACCAGGGCACTTCGTCATTAACGTCCACCACGTGCACACACAGCGTCTGGGTGGAGCGCCGCGGAGGTATCCCATGATCCTCGGCGGTCACGGTCAGGTTGAACAAGTCCTGCTCCTCGCGATCCAGGGCTTTGGAAATAGACAGCGACCCTGAGGAGAGAAAAGAGTCACAATCAGCATGGGGGATGGTCAGTTTTGGGAGAAGCTATTTGATGATTTTTCTGGAATTGTCATATTGTGAGGTTATTATTCTAGTTTTGACATTTCTGGACCCGATATCCGCCAAGTTCCAAATCTGAAGTGAGCATGGGTTCGCTTCTGGCTCCATCAACTCTGGCTCCAATTGACTTTACATAAAAAATTGTCAAATATCGTGATATTGTATCGTCAAAAGTCTCAAAATAATATCGTGGGCTGTCAAAATATATCAAGTTACAAGTTCTTTTGCTTAAATGCATTGTGTTACGGTAGCAACAGCTTATAAACATCGGAAACTACATATCCCATGATTCATTTCAGTGCAATCAACAAGAAGTTATATGTTTTTTACTTGAATTCTTTTTCCAGTAAATCTCAGTATTAATAAAATCGCATTTACAAACTGTGAAATGTTCTCCTGGAGAGGAAGCATCGACAAAATGAAAAGAGTCAGTAAACCTGTTTTATATTCACCCTTAAAATTTGATCAGTTGCACAGCTCTATTAAGATAAAAAAGCGAATCATTTCTTTGATTTTGAGCTTGGTGTGAAATACGTCCCCCACGATTTCAACCTTGATCTGCCTAAAACTCAAATCAAAGACGTTTACAACCCTGGGGTCTCCCAAGCTTTACCAAAGTTAACGTGAGACCAAAATCAAACTAATCTCCAAGCAAGTTAACGTGGTAACCTGACCCGCCTACCACCACCGCATTTTACGAGACTTTACACACGCACACGATCAAAACACAAGCTGGGGGCCCTTCACTGTAACTGTGACGCCACCAGGCCAAGTTACGGGTCAGATCTGTGGAGAGGTGACCCTGCTCACAGTACGAATGCATGTTTTTCAAGGTCTGTTTGAGCAATATTAACACCGGTAATTGAATAAACACCAGTTAGATTTGCCCGTTACCCCCAATCAGAGAAGTATTTGAAATTTCTGAAATACTTATCTGTTAATTGCCTGTAGAGAAAGTATACACAATGTGGATAAGGTGATAGAATTTTCTAGAAAATACAGGCACATCTCAAAAATTTTGAATATCATGAACAAGTTGAAAGCTTCACTCTGTGTGTCATGAGTCTATATAAGGGTTTGACTTTCTGAAATGAGTGACAAAAATACTTTTTCGTGATATTCTACTACCTGTATGTGGAAGAGACAGTAGCTCAGTTGGAGTGTTTTTCCACTGATCTGAAAGTTGGTGGTTCAAATCCTGCTCTTGATGTAAACATCAGTGGTAGATCAGATCCCCTAACCCACAGGTTGGTGTGGGGTTTCCAGTTCCACTTGTGTCCTTGGTAGGCGTGTAACGGTTCATGTATCCGTGCCGAACCATTTCCGTATGGGATGTTCAGTTCGGTGCAGGGCTGTGCACGAGTGAGTTCACGCAATTTGTGTTTGTTTACATTCCACCACTACATGTGCAGCTACACAGAAGGCTCGGCTCTTTAATGTTCACGAGGGAACTCATTCGTGATTGGGGCAGTGTTTCCGCTTAATATTTAGGGCGGCCGCCTTGACCACAATTGCCCCCCACCTTGACTACATCCCTCCGAACCACGTGAATCACTTTTGCCAACACAGAATCTCTGCTGGGGTCATTGTAACTGCAGCAGATCTGCACTTACTGCAGACAATGTGGACAAATTGTTTTTTCTGGTCAAAAATATGAAGATTGAATAAAACTTTATGCTGGAACTGTTTGTGCTGCACTTTACTTTTTGAAAAGTTTTGTTTACCGTTTACAAGGAATTTATTTTTATAATATTTCATACTTTTGTTGCTTATTTGAGAATATTTTGCTTAACTTATTAGTATTACCAAGCAGCACTTTGCATTTATTTTATTTTCCCAGGTGTATAATGTAAAAACAAATTGTTGGTTTAATAAACACACAAATGGTTTTGCATTTTGTTCCCGTACTGAACCGAAAATGAACTGAACTGTGACCTCAAAACTGAGGTACGTACCGAACTGTGATTTTTGTGTACCGTTACTCCCCTAGTCCTTGGGCAAGACACTTAACCCATCTCACCCTCAGTGTCTGTGTACACTGTTGTCTTGAATGTGTGTGTGAACGAGTGAGTGGTTCCTTGATATAAACCACTTCGAGTGTCGTGAAGGTGGAAAAGCGCTGTATAAAAATTTGACCATTTACTATGAACAAGCAGCCGTAACATTCAGAAGGAAATTAAATAAAACTTGATGTGTAATTGAGTGCATATTTGAGGTGACGGTTTGGTGTGGTGTGGTGGAGCTCGGTGTGACACATCTCCCCCACTTCAACCCTGATCCACCCAAAACTCATCAGTGCCAGTAAAGCCCTTTCCACTGCTCGGCAAAGTTAGCGTGAGACCAAAATCAAGCTGATCTCTCACTACTCTCTCTTAACTTGGCAACCTCACCCATCTACACCACCGAGTCGCATTCCAACCACCACCACCACCACCACCACACTTTACAAGCATTTCCACACACACTCACACGCTCACACGCACACACAACATCAAAACAGTAGCTGGGGACACACAACCTTAAACTACGATGAGGTCGAGGTTGGAGTTGTTCTTGGACAAATGAGGTTCATTTGGTCTTCCAGTAATTTATGTTATTAGGTTCTTTTTTTCCGACCAAGAGTTTGTTTTCATATCTGACAGTTTCAACTGGTCACTAACGCTCTTCCTCAGAGTGATCACGTGTTGCTGCAAAGGAGTAGGTTTATACAGGGACGGTGTCATAACCAATATTTGAGGAAGACAAAATAGTCTCCAACAATATTTGCAATTTTAATTCAATAAACAAAAATACACATTAATTCTCGATTTACCGGTCAGTCTTCATTTCTACTCCTACCTGTGATCATGAGCTCTGGGTAACGACCGAAAAGACGAGATCGCGAATACAAGCGCTCGACATGAGTTTCCTTCGCAGGGTGGCTGGGCGCTCCCTTAGAGATAGAGTGAGGAGCTCAGTCACACAGGAGGAGCTCAGAGTAAAGCCGCTGCTCCTCCACGTCGAGAGGAGCCAGCTGAGGTGGCATGTCCCACTGGGAGGAGGCTCCAGGGAAGACCCAGGACATGCTGGAGGGACTATGTCTCTCAGCTGGCCTGGGAACGCCTCGGGGTTCCCCTGGAGGAGCTGGAGGACGTGTCTGGGGTGAAGGAAGTCTGGGAGTCCCTGCTTAGACTGGTGGCTCCCCGACCCGGCCCCGGATAAGCGGAAGAAAATGGATGGATTGATACATCAATTCAGATATTTTTCCAAACTCAGTAGTATTAATTTAACACATTTTAGTTCACATTTTGTTTATTAGACGTTCTGAGATGTATCCAGTGATATGATGACAGGGTTACTCCTGCCGCTATTTCATTGGCTGCAACAGAGTGATGTCATTAGTGGAGCCAGGAGTCTAAACTGGGGAAGCGACAGGACAGGGCCGAACCTCAAGATGTCAGCTTGAGAAGATATAAGTGAAGACGCTGCACCAAACTTTGAGAAACTCTTCAAAAGGAACTTACTTGGCTTCATCTTCAATTAAACTTGTCTTATAATGAGTCGCCACAAAAAAAGAGCGACTATCACCACAAGTGCAAACGGAGGCCTACTCGTACCTCACAAATATCTCATCACCAACAAGCAAAGGGAAATGTGCTACAAACGTCTACATCACTGTTATCTGCTAAAGAATCATCTTAAAAGGACAATGGACACAAACTGTACATTTTGCGAACTGAAAAATGAAACCACTTCTCACTTATTTTGGACCTGCCCAGACTCTAGTGAACAGTCGAAACTGTCAGGTATGAAAACAAACTCTTGGTCTGCAAAAAAAGAACCTAATAACACGCAATTGTACTTACAGTGTTTGGTATCAAAAGTAGACGAGCATTTCCACACACAGACACAGACAAAACAGTAGCTGGGGACACAAAAACTTCCACTGTAACTTTACCAGACGACATTGGAGTTGGACTTGTTATAGAGTTTGGCTTCAAATGTACAGTATGTCTCACAATTTACAAACCTTTCCACATACACAGAGACACAGACAGACACAAACACACACTAAACAATAACTGGAGACACAAAACCTTCCACTGTAACTTTACTATTCGGGATCGGAGTTGGACTTGTTATACAGTTTCGCTGGAGAAAACAAGGAGAAGCTACCAGGCCAGCTCCAGGTCAGACATGTTCAGCCGATATCCCGTCTGGGCCTTTAATTGGACGTAATAAGAGTATTTACATGCAGATTCTGGTCCAGAACATCTCATAATGTTTGAACCTTTATTCACACAAAGCGGTTCAGAAGTGATTTGAATAATACGCTGCATAACGCAGTTGGATCTCTTGTGTAATAAGTTAATTGTGTTTAAACCAAATAAGTGCTGTTTTCTGTCTCTACACTGGTTTCGGCTCATGTCGAGTATTAGCCACACAGTGTTCATGCTCCACTCTTACATGAATATAAGCAAATGCTGGGCCCCAAACCAGAAAAGTTGCATAGTGCAGCTTTAAGGTCATAAATAAAATCACAATTAACTGACAAATGTGATCCTATATAGAAAGTAGAGAATTTATGGATTAGAGATGTGAGCGATAGCGAGAGAAGAGAGATAGAAAGAAAGAGAGAAGAGAAAAAAAAGAGAGACTATTGATCCTAGCTGCAGGTCTCAGTGCAGTTTCACAGGAGGACTGGTCAGGGAAGGTCAGCAGATCCCGTGGAAGAGCCAAAAGTGTCACTCCTCTGTGTCCTGCAGCATCACAGCAGCCTCCAGGGGGCGCCAGGCGAACACAACAGGAAAGACCTCACTCCCTAAAGGCTTAGTCACAATGACCTGCAAGGGCGATTCAACCGTACAGGTGAAACATGTCTTGGCCCGTGGAGGCCCGTGGGGTTCCGTAGAGGAGAGAGAGTTTTCTAAGTGCTTCGTAAGGGTGGTGC